TGTAAAAGGCAGAAAGTAAATGTCTTAGATTGACAGGAAAAAAAAAGTAAAATTTGCCAACATGTTAACACGGATGGAAATATAAAGGATGAAAAATAATAACAAAAGGGATAGAAAAAAGTAAAGATTGAATTTTTTAAGAAAGCGAGAGATGGTTATCGAATAATCAGAAAATAATAAAGAATGAAGAATTATATATATATATATATATATATAGAAAAATTTAATAAAACTAACGAAATGTGTAACCGCTTCGAAATATATACTGGTGAATAGTGAATGAATTAAAAGGTGCCTTAAATATAAACAGCCGAAGATCACAATGGAATAAGTATCCTAAGTTGTAAAATAAAGAGAGGTTAAGAACATCTGTTATGATTAGAACTAAAAAGTATAAACTTCTATGCCAAGAATATACAAAAAAGAGAAACTTGACTCTGTTTGGATAAGGAAAACTTAGTTGCGAAAGGAAAGTTCGTAGAAACGAAGAAATATGTAAACAGACGAAACTTTAAAAAAAATGGTTGAAGACAGAAAAATAGAAAATAAGAGCAAATAGAACGGTCCAATGAAGATTAATATAATTATGGCAATCTCAATATTTCTTATCTAGAGAAATAAAAGTCATTAAAGGAAAGAAAATAAATTGGTCAATTACTGGAGTTGATATCAAGTTGTTGTTTTACATTTATCTTATTAAAGTAGTGAGGATTATCTTATATCATCAATCAGTTATCGTTATTAAAGTAGTGAGGATTATCTCATATCATCAACCAGTTATCGTTATTAAAGTAGTGAGGATTATCTCATATCATCAACCAGTTATCGTTATTAAAGTAATGAGGATTATCTTATATCATCAACCAGTTATCGTTATTAAAGTAATGAGGATTATTTTTTATCATCAACCAGTTATCGCTATTAAAGTAGTAAGGATTATCTTTTATCATCAATCAGTTATTGCTATTAAAGTAATGAGGATTATCTTATATCATCAACCAGTTACAGTTATTAGTAGTGAGGATTATCTTATATCATCAACCAGTTACCATTATTAGTAGTGAGGATTATCTTATATCATCAACTAGTTATCGTTATTAGTAGTGAGGATTATCTTATATCATCAACCAGTTACCGTTATTAGTAGTGAGGATTATCTTATATCATCATCCAGTTATCGTTATTAAAGTAATGAGGATTATTTTTTATCATCAACCAGTTATCGCTATTAAAATAGTGAGAATTATCTTATATCATCAACCAATTATCGCAATTAAAGTAGTGAGGATTATCTTTTATCATCAACCAGTTATCGCTATTAAAGTAGTGAGGATTATCTTTTATCATCAATCAGTTGTTGCTATTAAAGTAATGAGGATTATCTTGTATCATCAACCAGTTACAGTTATTAGTAGTGAGGATTATCTTATATCATCAACCAGTTACCATTATTAGTAGTGAGGATTATCTTATATCATCAACCAGTTACCGTTATTAGTAGTGATGATTATCTTATATCATCAACCAGTTGTCGTTATATTTAAATTTTGACAGCAACTTAAGTAAAATCTAAGGGGGAAACATTTGACGAAAGAAAGATACCAACCTTCAGCAACATAAAAACATGCACGCATTTTATGTATTCTTTTCTAAAATGTAATTTTTGAAATTGCCAACATGTGTTGAAAATGTAATTGTTCCTGTTGCGTACGGATTTCTGCAACGAAGTCTGTTTCGATGGTTCAAGCCAATTGAAGATACACCATTTTTAGTTGTTAACACGCGACGATGTTTTTTTTTTTTATTATTTAAAAACAGTGAAGCACGTGTTTTGAAATACAACTAATAAGACGGTTAATACCATGCAGTAGACTGAAACACCGTTAACTTTATCCTTATCTCTACTGCCAACATCATTAGTGCATTCGTGCCTCCAGGTGGCTCAGCTGTAAGCTTGAGAGGTGATAATACTAAACTTCAAGTTTCGATCCCTAGGATGGGCACAGCGCCCACTGCCAACTCTTGGGAAACTCTATTAGAATTATAGGTTTGGACCGTTACATTTTGGGTTTCAATCCCTAGGGTGGGTACAGCACAGATAACCCATTGTGCAGCTTTGGGCTTAACAACAAATTACCAAAGAAAAAACATTAATAATTTTCCAAAATAGAACGATTTGTTTCGAACTGTATGTGTGTGTGTGGAAAATGTTCTGATTATTGTTTGTTTGTTTTGTTTTGTTTTGAATTTCGCGCAAAGCTACACGAGGGCTATCTGCGCTAGCCATCCCTAATTTAGCAGAGTAAGACTAGAGGGAAGGGAGCTAGTCATCACCACCCACCGCCAACTCTTGGGCTACTCTTTAGCCAACGAATAGTGGGATTGACCGTCACATTATAACGTCCCCACGGCTGAAAGGGCGAGCATGTTTGGTGGGACGATTTTCTGATTAGCTCGTGGTGATTTATCATACACTCTGACTGGGAAAGATTGAAGAGGGTTTCGATAGCTGCAAACTTCGTGTCTAAATATTGACACTCGTATATTGTTTGTTTCGATATTCACGCAAAGCAGCATCTGAGCTAAATTTGAACTGATAAACTGGAGAAATGATAGTTAGTCAACAGCGCCCACCGCCAACTCTTGGGCCATTCTCTTGGAATTGTAGGATTTGACAGTCACACTTACACCTTACTCTCATATCGAAAGTCCGCAACGAGACGCGAACCACGTACCCTCATATTCACAGTTTATTAGACCACTAGGTTGTTTAAAAACGACAAAAAACGGGAAGGTGAGAATTTTCATATTATATTATACACTCATAACTAGCGCATCTACCACCAGACTTAAATAACTTTATAGTATTGTGAGAAAAGTTATTTTCCTATTTTATTTGGTCTAACTAAATACACACAGGTATGATAAGCGTTACATTCTTACCTTATATCATTAGTAAACCGTACACCATGTAGAGTATGTTTTGGTCTAACTAAATACACACCGGTATGATAAGCGTTACATTTTTACCTTATATCATTAGTAAACCGTACACCACGTAGAGTATGTTTCAACCCAATTCCAACGCTTTCACTTAAAGTGAAATTTAAAGATGGAAATTTAAACAAAAAAGCTTTTCCTTTAAGTACATTAAGGTGAGCTTCTAGTAAAATGTAAAGTCGTTTCCAGAAAGTTTATACATATATATATATAGAATAAAAATACACACATATATTGATACACTGTACAGAAAAGTACAATTGCACAAACACACGATCAGCCGCGTGGACTTACTACAATTAACAGAACACATTTCGCTCCACCTTGTGTTCTTACGTGATAACTCGGAAGAAAACATATGGGAGGTGTGATGAGCAATGAAGATGCATGTTGTTACAAAAAAACTTAGTGTGGTGGTTTGGGTTAAGACATTTAACTGTATTGATAAAAGAAAAAGAAAAAAAATGCTTACGACCATCAAATAACCACGGGATCTTCATATCTATCCGAAACAATAGCACTAGTGAATATTGAATATAAATATATCCGAAATAATAGAACTGGTGAATATTAAATATAAATATATCCGAAATAATAGAACTGGTGAAAATTAAATATAAATATATCCGAAATAATAGCACTGGTGAATATTAAATATAAATATATCCGAAACAATAGCACTGGTGAATATTAAATATAAATATATATCCGAAATAATAGAACTGGTGAATATTGAATATAAATATATCCGAAAAAATAGCACTAGTGAATATTAAATATAAATATATTCGAAACTAATAGACTGGTAGAATATTAATATAATATATACCGAATAATAGACTGGTATAATATTAATATAAATATATA